TATATATATATATATATATATATATATATATATATAGTTAATTTTATTGTATTATGATAAATTTTCACATATTTGATTAAGGAGTCATTTACTAAATGCTTACTTGGTAAGCGCTTACCAAGTCATATTATCTTTATCGGATGAACGTAGCAAGGATTGTGAGTTTACCCGGTAAGAGCAATGACAAAGATCGAAAGTCTTACTCGTTAAGTGAGGGTGATAACTCTTAGCGGGTAGATTGTTGCATATGATGTTGTTTAGATGGACTAAAATCGATCATGAATATTGAATGTTATAATTGTTAGATACGCTTAACTTTTGATTTATCGTGAATAATTTTGACTACTCAGACAACTTTAGAATATCTGGTAAATATCATTCCAAGATCATGTACTACATTGCAGGCGAATAAAAATATTGAACTTCATAGCAAGAATGATCAACAAGTCTTGCAATCACAACAAATAGAACCACGRTGGACGTATCAGTGTCTTGACCTGCACTTCACCTTATTCACATATTGATCATCAGATCTTCTATTTCTTGCACTTTTCTTTCGAGTCAGATACTAGTCTTGGTTGCATAGTTGAGAATTACGGTTTTCATGCCGCATTGACTTCAACAATTTCCTAACGACGTTGAAAATTCTATGCCTAAACATCGTTTGCAAATAGTATGCATTATTTCATAAACTAGATAGTGATAGTTTTATTTTCACAAACCTGTGATTGTTACTACTCTTGAAATCCCATCTTTTAGTAAGCCAAAAGATGAAGAACGCTGAGATAATAAGAATGAGCTAAAGTTAAAATTGATTGATGTGCCAAAAGGTTGCTTATCATGGCTCTTCCTCATAATCTTTTCGAGTCATTGGATTCATGTAACATGAAGCATTGGACAATGAATTAGAAGGTGGAACTAATACAAGGAAAAACAGAAGAATCCAATGCCTGAATGAGTAAATTCCTTCTATTTGCTACTCCAAAAGGAAGTCTTGAAACCACCTATGATCGATTTTATTCTCTAATCAATAATGCAAAAGAAATGGAAGAGTGAAGTCAAATGAAGAGAATAATGTTTATGTTTGTAAAGAGCTTAGTTGACAAATGAACAAAATTTTTGTGTCTCCTCAAGCTAATCAAGATCTAGAAGGTTGAGCTCTTCATGAAGCTCAAGAAGCCAAGTAACAACAAAAGCAAAATGGTGGTGGGAGGCCCTCTAGCCTTAGTCTCAGAGAAAAATGTTGATACTCTCTAAATGATTTGATGATGATTCTTTTATCTATCGAAGTATATTATTTCTATCATTCAGTTTCAGTGATCTTCACTGAATATGTTTAGTGATCGCTGAACATGTATTGTAATTCATTTAGAGAGCGATATACTTTAAGAAGACAAAACTCCACCACAGATCCTTCAACGATATCGAAGACAGAAGTTGAATTTAGAGACTAGCAAATTCGTGATCTGAAGCGGTTTTCAGTGATAACAAGCTCGTCTACACAAATGTGAAGTCTATGCAAGATTCAACAAACACTGATGAGACCTTTAGCGTCATTCCAGAAGTATAGAAGAGTTGTTATCATTAAAAACCGCTTCAGATCACGAACTTGCTGGTCTTTAATCTTCAGCTTCTGTCTTCGATAACACTGAAGGATTTGTGGTGTGAGTTTTGTCTTCTTGAAGTATATCGGTGTCTGAACGAATTACAATACATGTTAAGCGATCACTGAACAGACTCAGTGATGATCGTTGAAAATGAATACAAAGATAATATACTTCGAAAGATAAAAGGGATCATCATCAAATCATTGAGAGAGAGAGGATCAACACAAAATGTCGTGAACGAAAAGGATAAGGAATGATGATACCATATGATTGATTGTATCAATAAAGATTGCTCGAAGGAAAAACACATTTACATAGCCTTGGGGCCGGTGACATGTTGCAAGACGCTTACCATTGTTTGAGTTATTGTGTGTCGTGTGCAAGTGGAAGAATGTAAGTTATTATATCCCACGACACGTGTCACACAAGGATACTGCTAAGGAGTATGTAAACTTATATGGTCGCACACAAAGAATAAATTTGCTTCCATTTGAAAGTGACCTAAAAGTCATGTTTGACAGTTAAATAATTATTCTTGAAGAATAAATATAAAATATATGTTGAAACGTAATTATGATAATTGCAGGGTATTATCTATAAATAAGCATAATTATCAATGTTTTAGATGATTATATAATTATTTACAAATAAATATCAAACCTTATTTGAGTTATAGGTTGATTATGATATTAATCCATATAAATAGGGTGTTAGACCAATTCAATTTGATGATACATTCTTTTATATTTGGCTATCAGTTACACAGAAAATAAACCTTTTCTTTTATGTGATACACATATTAGTATTAAGGTTGTTTTGGGCTAGCACTCGGTGGGAGATCAACACGTGTTCGTGTTTGGATCAACTACAGAGAAAATCGTTGTTGGTTTCTTAGTGCCCCATCAGATACCTTGCCATGTCTTAAAAGGCACAATTATAAACACTCTATGGTGTGTGTTTTAATTAAATGTCTCATTGGATCTGGCTACGGGTTTTGTTTTGGAAATTTTTTCTAATAGTTGTAACCACAAGTTTTATTTTTCCGCTGCGTTTACGATTACAAATTGCATTAAAACCCAACAATCTTCACAAATGTTCTAAAGCTGGAAATCCGATTTATAACTTATATTTCAGAATAGAAAAAGATGAGATTTTTACTTGCAAAAGTCTTATAACTATTTGTATTGATCCAAAAACAAAATACGTTCATCAAAATCGAAGATTAGTTCAAATAATGTCAAGATCGTCACAAAAGTGGATTGGTTTGTCATCTAACCAAAAAGAAGATCAATACAAGATAAAATCAAATAATAGTTTGAGAAATACTACTACCTGCAAGCGGATTTTGGAGTGCAAACTTGTCCAACAAGTTTGACTCTCCAACAAGTTTGGCTCTCCAACTCTTCCAACGCTCATCCTGGTATCAGAACATGCAAAAATATGTCAGCCAAAGTAAGTACTTAACACTACTCTATTAGTGTCATACTTTCTTTACTGTTTCCTCAACATACAAAAGAATGGGATAGGATAACACGTGTCTACGCCAACCACAAATGATGGGAAAAAAATTGTACAAGCATGCATGGATAAATCACATGAAGACACACATTAAAGTTGGTCAGTAGCATTTAATGCAATGATGGCTATAAAATGTCACTCTTGTCATTCATTTATTACTCAATCGTTTTGAAATAACTTATATATGATAGTTTCTTAGGAAAAATGAGCATCAACATCTGAAGAGCTACCTTTGTCCTTCGAATATGAAAAAGTACCTTCCTATCTCATTCTTTATATGTTAGCAAATTTGTTAATAGTCAAATTGTTTAGGATTACAGGTCTTACCTTCCTAGATTCCACAAAACATACGTAATTTTTTGTTTTAATACAAAACATATAATTAAAAAATAAAAATATATTATGTTTGTATTCAACCCCCTTCTACAAACACATATTGTGTAAGTTATCACTTTCCAGGATCAACATACATGACTGGTGATAAGATTTTTCCGACCTCATTCAGTGACAAAGTTGGAGGCTCGCTGACTTTTGGAGACAATAATAATTGAATAATAAAAGGGCATGGCGTTTTATTTCCGTTCGTGATTTGCCACAAATCCATCAATGAAGCCCATTGGTTTTGTAATGTATGATGCTTACTCATATATGTTCCTTATTATCATACTTTGTTGGTCTCAACCATCGAATTTGTAAATAATAGATTTAGTATCCGATCAAACACTTAGAAAGAAATTCTTAATTACTTGCCTTACAATGATTATATCCGATAAAGCATACCCATCAGACATAATTCCAAAGAATTAACATCCAAACCCTTAAGCTTCAGGTTTCAGATATGGAACAATTCATCGGATCCCTAATTTGTATAAAATGCAAGATCAAATCATTTGTCTTAAATATTCTCCATTCAATAAGGAGAATCTGTTTGACATACTTCTTGGTCATTTAATCTTAAGTTTCAAGAATACGCATTTTATACCAAGTCCTTTTAGAATCCGATGAATCAACTTCATAATGTTTCTATAGTTGGAAATCTGACCTATAGCTTATATTTCAAAATAGAACAAGATAGAATTTTTACTTGTAAAAGTCTTGTACTATCTACATTGATCCAAGAACGAAATGCCTTTAATAAATTGAAGATTAGTTGAAATAAGGTCAAGATCATCATAAAAAACGAATTGGTTTATCATCTAGACAAAAAGAAGAACAATACAAGATAAAGTCAAATAATAATCGGACAAATACTACTATTGTCAAAACGAACTTTAAAGTGCAAACTTGTCCAACAAGTTTGGTTCACCACTCTTCCAATACTCATCCTGGTATGGGAACATGCACAATATGTCAGCCAAAGTAAGTTCTTTATCAGATGAAGACACTCGTTAAAGTTGGACAATAACATTTAATGCAATGTGGCTATCATAAGGTCACCCTTGTCATTCATTGATACTCATCCATTTTGAAAGAACATCTTATAGTTTCTTAGGGAAAATTTGCGTCAACATCTGAAGAACTATCCTAGTCATTTGGATATGAAAGAGTACATTCTTCTCTCGCTCTTTCAATTTTTGCAAATTTGTCACCAATCAGATTGTTGAGGATCATAGGTCTTACCTTTATAGCTTCTGTAACAAATATGCAATGCTTTGTTTTAATACAAAATATAGAATTAAAAAGTGAAATTTGTTGTATTTGTATTCGACCCCCTTCTACAAACACATCATGTGCAAGTAATTACTCCCCAGAACCAACATACTTCAACTTACAATCATCTCAAGGATTTGCATTTCATGCATACACCTCTATTGTATGCATGTGTAGCTAAAGAGCACAACCTCGACAAGTTATTTGTCGTTTCTTAGGTTCGCAATTCTAAACTTGACCATTCAGTATTTCGAACCACTTTTCCCATTTCTATCCTTTCGTGGCCCTTATAAAACGTATTGGTATGTTTCTTATCCTCATGTTAGCTAATCATCTTAAGTCGTTTTTGTAAGACATTGATCTATCATCTATCGTTTCATTCTTGTTTGAATTTAGCTATCCTGTGCCTAAATCCCTTAAAGATAAGCTTTAAAAATGGTTGCCATCATATCAGACAGCAATACGGAAGCATTTGTAATAATATTTTTAAATTTTGTGCACAATGACAACTACAACAAAATTGGGTTTATAGGACACTCCCAATTTTTAAGTGTCCTAATAGACATCTTTATAGGACTTAATTTATAGGACCAAAAAAATAAAGTGTCCTATCTAAAGGCGTTGTAATAAGTTTATATGACGTTTTTTGAAGTCGTAATAAGTTTTTTAGGACACTTTTAATATAAAGCGTCCAATTAGCAACTTTATAGGACACTATTTGAAAAATTGTCTTATAAAAACAAGTGTCCTATAAAAAAAATGAGTTTAGAGGACAATTTCTCAAAAGTGTCCTATAAAGTTGCTAAAACGACACTTTGTATTAAAATGTCTTAAAAAATTTGTTAAGACGCCTAAAAGCGTCATATAAACTTATTACAACACCTTTAGATATGACACTTTATATTTTGGTCCTATAAATTAAGTCATATAAAACGGTCTATTGGGACGCTTAGAGATTGAGAGTTTCCTATAAACCTAATTTTGTTGTAGTGACACTTGTTAGTTTTGAATTGTTAGAGTACTACATCGGCTAAACTTCGACAAATTCTACTCTATATATGTTGGAACATTCATTCTCTCTTCAAAAGGCTCTTTTCGAGAGTAATCTAAAGGTTCCACATATTCTCGTAACATATCAGAGCCTAGGTTCTTGTTAGTATATATTGGAACCCCTTTTTCCTTCTCAAAAGGCCTTTTTGCAGAGTAAACCGATGGATCGTGAATAATGGAAAAGAGCATAGCTTCGTTTGCAGTGGATTCAAGTTCGATCTAGATGATATTCACCTCTAGTTCTAATGGTCAACACTTGCTTTGTTGACATTCGGCCATTTAAACATTGCAATTCGCAAGGCAACTGTTTGATGTAATGTCACAAAGAAACTACGACAGTTAGAGCACCATAATCTCAAGTTTTCCATCCATGATGTAGTGTTCTTGGACGCTAAGAACAAATAAAATAACAAGTGGGAGATTCAAATAAGAATGATAAATATAGTAAGAAGATATTTGAAGAGATTGGAAAATTTCATTTGAAAATGCATTTGTGAACCCATATGAATGATCTATAACAACACTTCACATATGCATCTTCAAATATATTTCTTTTGGCATTTTTTAATGATTCAAATATAAATCTCCCATTCTTACAATATTTAGTCTTCTTACTTGAACCGACCCCTATGAAACAAATTGAATCCAAGTATTCCTCGGAAAAAAACAGCAAACTCAAATTTTAGTTGTTTTGCTATATTTCGACCATTTTGCTCACTATGTTTCAGCCAATCCCACTGTTCTTATTAACAGTTTTCAAGCATGTTGTTTGGAAACCCTTTAGATGGACAACTATATGGTATAGAATATGCCTATGGCATTGCTTTACACTCGGAAACTGTGTATACTGATCATCTGTGTAATGTTGCCTCTATACAATCCTGAATGAATCTGCTATCTTTTTCAGATCCTGGTTGTGCCTCTTCCACTGAAGACCTGCAAAGATAGATTCATGACATCATTAGGAATATGTATATATATATGCATAATGCATGGCTCTGAATAACAGGATGGATTCATGACATCATTAGGAATGTGTATATATATGCATAATGCATGGCT